TGGCTGTCGAAGATAACTGGACAAAATTATAAATCTGGCTGAGAAATTCTGTCGATAATCAATATATTCGACAGTAAAATTCTATCGATTACACTTGTTTAATCGACAGAGAAATTTGCTGTCGAATATATTGATTATCGACTGCAGTATATTCGACAAAAAAAGTTGTCGAATATGTTTGTCGATTATATTTTAATCGACAGAAAATCATTCATATTCGACAGAATCCTCTGTTGAATATACTGCTTTTTCCAGTAGTGAATCTATCATTAAGTGAGTGAATACATATAAACTTTGTAAATATATTATTTTCGATTAAATATATAGATTATTAAATATGGTTTGCTCTTTTTGTTTTATTTATTGATTTATCTACTAACTATTTAATCTATAGATCTTCCTCATATTATTATTTTTGTGGTGCTTTCATCCTTGATAGAAAATGGCCTGAGGCCCTTTCCTTCTCTTTTGTTAGAAGTTTATGTTTTTGATTAATATATCATTAATATATATATAAAAAAAAAACATTCATATTTTTCATAAAATCACTAATGGATTAAATTACTTAATTGGAATTACAAAACAAAATTGAAGTAACATGTGGTAGTTTATTGTTGGTATACTTTGATAAAATTAAGATTAAATTTTGTATTTTAAAGATAATTAATTATTAAGAAATTAATAAAATGATTAGCCAATAAATATTTCCTTATAATGCGTCCTAGAAAATTAGATTCATTTATTTATGAAAGTTCGATATTGAGTTTTGCATATGAAATCACAATATATTTAAGCAACAATGTTATAACTGTAATTATATATAATTTTACAAATTTATAATCATGATATATTATTAAATAAATAAATGCATACAACATTATAAGTAAAATTTTAATTAAAAAGAGTTAATCAAATAATGATATGTCAAGATTGTAAACTTATAATATCATATAATACTATAACTATATCATTTTTTATACTCAAGAACAGTTTATATGGTATATAGATTTTGTTGATCACTGGACCTATAATACTTAAAAATTTTTAAATAAGAATACAACCTTTATAATTTTATTAAAAAAGAATTAAGTTTATTCAAATAAATAAGAATACAATTTTTTAAAACTATTATAATTAAGAATATGATCATTTTTCTTAACTAATTAAGGCTAGCTAGAACTTTTCAAAAAAATTTAATTAAAGGTGTAACCTTTATAATTTTACTAAAAAAA